GGTGTTGCGGGCAGTTTCCGTAGGGGCGTACCCCACCACGAAAGTTACTCCGCAGGTGCGGCCAATTTGCAGGCGCACCTTCATCAGCCTCGGGCTAATGCACTCCACCGTCCTACCTCCCTCGCCTACGCTGTCCCACATGGTCTCCTTAATCGCTATGCCCACACCGTGCACGCCCCTCTTGTCCTTGGTGCCGGCACGGGCACCACTCCAGATGATCACGTACCCGTCGTGTGTAATCGCGCCTTGTCCCGCTCGTCGGGTCTCTTGGAGTCCTATCACATCACAGTCGGTCGCGGCACAGATCTGCATGACCGTCATCACGTTGTGGCCGATGGGGTTCCTGCCGCTGTAGGCGAGCGTGCGTACGTTGCTGTATGTGTGATCGGTCAAAACGCACGCCAGAGAGAGGCTTTACGCCGTCGGTATCCATAACCTGCAGGCAGTGGCGTGTATCCACCCTCTGCTCGCGTCCCAGCAACAGATCTTATTGTCCAGTTTTGATTGCATACGGCCTGTAAACGTGAACCGAAGTGTGTTGCGGTGTTGACTTTTGGGGCTTATTTCTTGTTCCGCCGCGTGTTTGCTCCGTGTGTCACCCGCTACCAGTCAAAAACGCATGCCAGAGGGAGGCTTTCGGTCGATGACATCCACAAACTACACCCAACGGGGTGTGGTCAGACACGTACGCTCCGCTCGCGTTCCAGAAGCGGAGCGTATTGTCCAGTTTTGATTGCACACGGCCTGTAAACGGTAGTGTGTTACGGTGTTGACTTTTTTTGACGTTGCCTTTCTGTTTCTGGTTGCTCCGAGCGTGATCAGTCCACAACGCATGCCAGAGAGGCCTTTGGTCGACGACATCCACAAACTGCTGTCACTGGCGTGCGATTATACACATGCCCTCTGGAGGCGACCCAAAAACAGAGCATTCGGTGTCTTGTTGGTCGCACACGAGCCAAAACCGTGAACTGAAGCATGTTGTGACCCACAAAGACTTGGTTCGGCCCTTTTTTCCCTTCAAGAAAAAAATCTGTCTCGAGGAACCGTAAGAAGGTCGTTTGGATCCAGATAAATTTTTCCTCGCAGATCACCCCCCCTCGGTACCGAAAGCAATATACATCTCCGAAATAATCATAACGTAAGACTCGGCCTCAGGCTGAGTCCTTTAAGCTTAGCAAGCTTGCACTCTACCAATTGAGTAACTTCAGCTTTTGCTTTTTCATGACGAATAATACAAAGTTGTGGACTATTCACAAGAGCTACGACTCAACATTTCTGTTTTTGTTGCAAAATGGAATCGACATTGAAGAGTGGGGGGGGTTACCCCCTGGTCACACCCCGATCATGCCAGAACGAGGAACTTCACCGGCTGCTGGCCAAACAGAGGCCAGGATCATGAGGTCATGCACAAACCCTCTGCAGGTATCTAATATTCAGGGCGTTCTGCGTCGTGTTGGCCGCACACGAGCCGAAAACGTCAACCCTGCCACATTGTTGCTCTGCTGACGCTCTTGCCTTTGGACCGAAAAGAGCCGCTTTTGCGCCTGCTGCATGTGCGACCAGTTTGCCAGAGAGAGGCTTCACGCCGTCGGTATCCATAATCTGCAGGCAGTGGCGTGTATCCACCCTCTGCTCGCGTCCCAGCAACAGATCTTATTGTCCAGTTTTGATTGCAAGTGGCCTGCAAACGTGAACCAAAAAGTGTGTTGCGGTGTTGACTTTTGGGGCTTATTTCTTGTTCTGCCGCGTGTTTGCTCCGTGTGTCACCCGCGATAAGTCAAAAACGCATGCCAGAGAGAGGCATTTGGCCGACGACATCCCCAAACAGCAGCAAGCGGCTGTGATCATACACATACCCTCAGCTCGCGTCCCAGAAACAGAGTGTAATGTCCAGTTTTGATTGCACACGGTCTTAAACGTGAACCGACGTGTGGTTCGGTGTTGCCTTTTTTAGACGTTGCCTTTTTTTTCTGCAGCTTGCTCCGGGTCAAGAGTGATCAGTGTACAACGCATACCATCAGAGAGAGGCATTTGCCGACGACATCCACAAACTGCAGCCGATAGCGTGCGATGATACACATGCCTTCTGTAGGCGACCCATAAACAGGGCTCTCGGTGTCTTGTTGGTCGCACACGAGCCAAAACCGCGTACTGAAGCATCTTGTGACCCACAAGAACATGAATTAGCCTCTTTTTTCCCTTCAGAAAAAAAGATACCTCGAGAAACCGTAAAACGGTCGTTTGGATCTTGATATTTTTTCCGTGCAGGCCACGCCCTATCTCCGAAATAATCACACCGTAAGACTCGGCCTCACCTGTACAAAAGATTGACCGTCCACGTGCCGTGTCTCGTTCATGTTCAGCAATAGGCCAGTGTCCGCGACAGTAAACGGCGGCTAGGATGCAACGTGCTCCCGCCAGTGCAGGCCAAGCGGGCCTTGTGGCAGCGGTGGAGCCCACTGCGGTAGAGGTGCGTGCTATCTTGTCACGAACGACACACGTTCCAAGAATTCATCATCGTTTTGTGTAGACGTGCCTCCAATCACCATCTTCGCTCTCAGAAACCTGGTTCATGTTCATGCTTGAGTTTCCAACCTCCCTCCCTCCCTCCCTCCCTCCGTTTCCCCTCCCCTTCGCAGCGGCTTGACCATGTTGGCCAGCTTCTCGCCGAAAAGAAGCCCTGGCCCGCCTTTCTGCACCTCGGAGCTCGAGCAACGAAAGAGTGGGAGGCTTGCCCCACCCCCGTACAGGAGGCTCTGGCATGGATGGCGACAGCTACGGTTGGGGTGCTCGATATGACGAGCGTAGGGCCCTTAGAGCCTGTTTGCCAGGCATTCAAGGGGTTGATCGAGGCTGCCGAAGGTGCAGCGGAGTCCCAGGACAAACTCAAGGGGCTGATATCCCGGTGCCCTTTCCTCACCACCGTCTTGATTCAGCACGACCGAGCGGTTGGTCCGCTCGCCCAGGTGCAGAAGCCCATGAAAGACTTCGTCGCCACGACCAACGATCTGGCGGCCTTGCGGCGAAGTGGGCCAAGGGCGGCAAGTGCAGGGCGCTCTTTTGCCACCGCAGCGACCTGAGCACTCTCACCGACTTCGAGGAGCGTCTGCGCACCATCAGTAACGACATCGCCTTGGTGGACGGGCTGGAGCATCAACAGCTGTTGTTGGCCGTGTATCGCCAGTTGCGCCCTCCAACGTTGCCGGCTATGGCCTCGGTACCTGCAGGGCCGATCTCCCTGACCGATGGCCACATTTCACGGCCTTCGTTGCTCGGGAGAGCCATTGGTTACCTCACGAACACGGCTGTGGGCGACGCGCCCTGTGTGCTGACCGGCATGGCCGGAGCGGGAAAGTCGGTCCTGGCGTCCGCAGTTGTACAAGTGGAGAAGGTCCGCGAGCACTTTCATGCGGGGATGTATTGGGTGAGGGCGCGTGACGCGAAGGATCAACTCCACGCGTGCTTGGAAGGGCTTGCGTTACGAGTGGCGTCAACGTCAGGGACTACTGCCCCCGGGCTTGGCAGCGTGGAAGAAGTGACGCGTTACCTGAAAGCGGTATGTGCCGACTCCGTGTCACCGCGCTTGATCGTGCTCGACGACGTGTGGGAGCGGGAGGTCGTTGACACCCTGAAGCTGACGGGCCTGCAGCTGCTGGTAACTACGCGCGACCGTTCGGTGGTGTCGATGCCGGGAGAGTGCGTGGAGGTGGGGGATATGGAGGACGAGGCCCTGGAGCTACTGAGAGTCGGTTGCGGGGCATCCAAGAACCTCGAGTTACCGCGCGCTGAGGTGTTGCAGGTGACAGTCTCGACAATCGAATTGAGATATCTCATTGTGGACAGATTTGCGTTGCGCCAACTGGTATCCCACCTGTGCTACGTTCCTCGAAACAGTAGTAGCAGGACGGTAGTTCTGGCACGATTGGTGTTCGGGTCCCTTGTGGTTGAGTTGTTAAATAAACGGCGCTCTCTCTGTATAGGTAGTGCGGTCGTTCTCGGCCTTCTTGATTCAGCTTCGAACGCGCCCGCCCCTTCGCCTCAGGTCGTGGTTGACTGCGGGAACGACCGCATCATGACCGTACCGAAGCGAGTAGATGCTGTCTTGGAAGTGAGCTTGGGCGCCATGGCAGAAGACCCAGCGAAGCAGCGAAGATGCCTGTTCCTTGCGGTACTGGCCCCGGGGACACTGGCACCGTCTGACATGCTGGAAGATTTGTGGGACGAGGGGCGGTGGGAGATGTTGGTGGAGCAAGGGGAGTAGTGAACCCCGGTGCGGGAGCTATCTTGTACCCACCTTGTTGTTTTGTTGATACATTGTTGCCCAAGGGGGCAAGGACCTGTCTTGGTTCAACGTACGGAGAGCGTCTACAGGTGATTTGTTGGCCTGAAGTATTTTCCCTCCACTTGTGTTTGATTCTTTTTTGTCGCGAACGTTAATTTTATTCGTGAAGCCTCCTCCCCCGAATCAAGGTCGCCAACAAGGATAGTGGAATGCGGTCTTAGAATGGCATGCTTCGCGCATGGAGTTTTCTTCTAAGTGGAGCCCTTCTTGTCTGATGGTGGCCTTTCCTTACTCTTCTGCGCGGCCTCCGCCAGGCCCCTGGGGCTGCCAAGACGTTCGCAAGACAGCTCGTGGATCAGTCCATGCTCCAGCCTGCAGGGGATGCTCTTCGCGTTCACGATCTTGTCTTGCTGTTCCTCAAGCCCAAGCTCAAAGCCGATTCCAGCCGGCCCATCACCACCTCCCGTATCGCGGAGTATCTGGGACATTTGAAGGTTCTGCGAAGATATGTTGAGGACGGGAGACGAGCGACGGTGTGTATTCCTTGATGGCCCTTTGGAGGTCGGTGGAGGACCTCGTGGGGGAGAGCCAAGTCGCAGCTGTGTACACGAAGAACCTCCAAGGGGTACCGGAATATGCACCGTGGCTACAGGCTGGCCGTATTTTGCACCTCATGGTGAGGCGCCGCAGTGAACGTTCTCATGCGAAATGCCGTCACGGTTTCGTGTTGGACGATGCTCTACAGTTGATGTAGCAGTTGATGAAGACTGCGGTGTTTTTTCGTTTTGTGCTCCAGTCACACTCTTGATGTGCCCGCCGGTGCATCCTGGACTGTGGTCGTGACACGAGGGTTATCCTGTGATTGTACGCACGATAGCGCATGACCCCACCACCAGTGCTTGGATTTCTGTTGTTTGCTATTGGAAAGGGTGTGGTTATCCGATGCAGCTTGAACAGAGTTCAGATCGTGCTGCCCCAAGCCCTCGACCTTCACAAACGCTGCTGATGACATGAAGGTGCTTAGGTGATGGCGAGGGTTCAATTTACAGAAGGAGAAATGACCGCGGCGCAGTAGAGCGTATGCGATGATATCCATTTGTGTGAATACGGAACGCCACCATCTTATCAAAATATTCGCAAAGCGAGAAGGGGCACGTGACGTTTCAGGCTATTCTCATCATACATGAGGCAGCCTGTCACGTGCTTGATTGTACGCACTGTGCAGTTGTGTGCATAAAGGGAAATCTCCAGGGCGAGCATCTGTTCGAAAGGCTGCCAACCCAATTAGTGCGAATTCATTGGGCCCTCAGAAGTCAGCCGGGCACGCCAGGCTACCATGTTGTGTTTTGTTTTCCACTCACCTTTTCCCTCGCACCAGGGCAATAATGTAGCAGTAGACCCTCTGCGCGCTCGTACCCTTGGCATTCTTGGTTCAGCCCTGGGCGAACAACTTCCCGACGATGCTTCAGTGCTCACCAACCAGATGTTGATGTTGAGTGTTTTGCCCTCAGCATGTACAAACGTTGACTATATTGGGTTGTGCGGTTTGGCATCGAGTACCAGGGCAAGCATGAGGAAGCTGAGCCGCTGTATCAACGCTCGCACGCCATCTGTGAGTAATCTCTTGGCCCTGATGACTCGCGGTGGCCACAGCGCCCAACAACCTGGCGTTGTTGGTAATGAGCCTTTTTTCTTGAATATTCGTAGGGTTCAAATTGCTTTATTAATTTTTTCGTTTGTTGGTGTATCGCTGGCTGACCGAACCCACTTCATGTTGCAAGTACGACGACGCCGAGCTACTTGATGAACGTATCACAAGTCAATCCAACAGGAGGCGCTGGGTCCGGAGCGATGTCTATGTGACCCTGTCGGGGGACGGGATTGTTGCGCCATTGTTCCTCGGCATTATGCTGACCAAGCCTTGGTGTACACCTTTCCGTTCGTCCTCCTCCCCTGCCAGGGGAAGTATGCTGAGGCAGACCCTCTGTACCTTCGAGCTATTGAGATCGGAGAGAATACGCTGGGTCCTGACCACCCAGCTCTTGCCACACAGCTCAACAACAGGGCGGGGTTGTTGAGCAATTGTTCGCCCGTTGTCAATCCCCGCTAGCATTGACCACACTTCTGACATACTTGCCTTTCACGTCTCAGGGTAAGTTCGCCGAGGCCGAGCCCCTGTACAGGCGGGCGACCGAGATTTGGGAGACAGCGTTGGGTCCCGAGCACCCACATGTGGCAACAGCGCTCAACAACCGGGCGGGGTTGTTGATCAAGCAGGTGAGAGCCTTGGAGAAATTTCCATGAATATTTTTGTGGTGGTCGATGGGATATTCTAGGTGCTCAACAACCGGGGGTTGTTGAAGGCACAGGTGAGAGCCGTCAGAATTCTAGAGGAAATTTCTTGTGGTACCCAACAGATTTTGTAGGTGCTCAACAACAGGGCGTATTGTTGAGCATGTGTTCTTCCGCATTTTTATCTACAACTCAACACTGACTCCCTCGCTGTTTTTGGCATACCCCAGGGCAACTACGACGAAACCAGGAAGTTGTATGAGCGTTCTCTTGCCATTCGCGAGAAAGCACTAGGGCCTGACCACCCGCACGTGGCCCAGTCGCTCAACAACTGGGCGCGGTTGTTGAGCATTTGTTCCTCCGCATTGAAGTATCTACTAGCTTTGACAACACTTCTTCCTGTCGTGCCTTTCCTTCATGTTTCAGGGCAAGCACGACCAAGTCGGGCCGCTGTATGACCGTTCCCTTGCCGTCGAGAAGGTACACGGGCCAGATCATCCTGCGGTGGCAACAGCGCTCAACAACGGGCGCTGTTGTTGAGGAAACAGGTGAGAGCCGTGAGAATTTTCCAAGAATTTTCGTACGGTTCACACTTGTTTTTGAGAGTTTCGTTCTCTCCCGCCTAGTCGCTTACACCACCCCATTGCTTCCCACACAGAGCAAGTACGACGAAGCCGATCCTCTCTATCTGCGAGCTATTGAGATTGGGGAGAAGACGCTGGGTCCTGACCAGCCAGTTCTTGCCACGACACTCAACAACAGGGCGGAGTTGTTGAGAGCGCAGGTGAGAGTCAAGCGGTGCTTCTAGAAAACCCATCTCCCTCCACAGGTCTAGAACCCTTGTACTAAAACACGACCCTGTCACGCTGTCGACTCCATTCCATGGGAAGTATGTTGAGGCCGAGCGCTGTATGGGCGGGCCACTGCGATCTTGGAGAAAGCGCTTGGTGCTGACCACCCAACAGTGGCCGCCGTGCTCAACATCCGGGCGTGGTTGTTGAACAATTGTTCCCCTGCCTTGAGCAGCACTGCCCGTGACATTTCTCCTTGTGCATTTTATTTCGTTATCCGGGGCAAAAACGACGAAGCAGACCCTCTGTACGCTCGGGTCCTTCAAATCCTGGCTGCAACAGCGAAGAACACCCAAACTACGCTGCAGCGCTCAACAACCGGGCGGAGTTGTTGAGAGTGCAGGTGAGAGTCGCCAGAACCTGCCAGTAGAACTCTCTTGGTGGCCTGTGGTACATGGTGCTCAACAACAGGTCGGGGTCGTTTTTGAGCCAGATAAAATGTCAAACGATGTTCTGGAAGCTTAACCCTTATGTGACTGGGTTTTCCCTGGATCTTTCGAGGTTTTTTTTTGCTCAACTGGGCGAAGAGACCGCTGACATCATCAAGGCTGCTGTGGAACACACATATTTCAACCACCGTCTCCCGTTCTCTACACACCTACCTACTGGTATCTCCCACATGGTCGGTCTGGACGTCAAAATATGTCCCTGTAAAAAAACAATACAAATAAAAGTACAGCAGGCAACACTGAATGAAAGCCTGCCAGGGGACATGAAGTTCACAATTGAAAAGTAGTACCTCCCGACAGGTGCCCCACAACAAACTCTCCGCTGCATATATCTCGGCAGATACGTAGGACCTCAGGGAACAAGCGCTTTCAGGCGCACGACTAGGCCTGAATTATGTCCGTTCAACAACGGGGGAAGGGGGACACGCCGGCAAGATTGGTTATTTCGAAACGATCACCCATAGCCTGGACGACGGTTGTCTGACCGCAACGTGGTAGGGCCGTGGTAAAACCAAAGACAGGTCGGGAAACGACCGAATGTTCTAACACCAAAACACAAGTCACACCACAATACCACTGCTGTTATCAGCAACACAGGTAAACGACGAAGGCACAAGAACTATCACTCGTCCACCGTTGTTTTCAAGAAAACACAGGTGGACGATAAAGGCACAACAAATCCCTCGCGGAAGGGAAGATGGTTGATGAACGACACTAATATGCACTTGTGGGATCAGTTTGACCTCCAGGCAAATCACAACGGAGCACCCTCGAAACACATCCGCGTCTCCTCCGCCAGGAACACATGCCACATTCAACGTAAGGCAAAAAAAAATGCGCTCACGACCACCAGACGAGATCCTTGCGTCCCACCACCCCGTACTTCTGGGGATTCCGTTGAGCATCTCCGGCCCTAGCGTGCCTCACAGGGTTGTTGAAGCATGCCTGGCACATCAAAACACTCCGGTCCCCTGCCTGTTTGCCAACACAAAGCTCCACGCAGGCACATCCTTTCGATGTCTTACTCTTGCATCCGGGGTGCATGCATTTGCGAAGTGTCTTCACCGAAATGCTCCCCCACACTTTGTCCGGGGGAAACTTCACTGCNACACCCCGGTCCCCTGCCTGTTTGCCAACACAAAGCTCCGCGCAGGCACATCCTTTCGATGTCTTACTCTTGCATCCGGGGTGCATGCATTTGCGTTGAGTCTTCACCGAAATGCTCCCCCACACTTTGTCCGGGGCACCCGTCACCGCCGCCGGTCTCCCCCCCTTGTTCGGTCTACCAACATTGCACCTCGCCATGAGCTCCGTCGACAACATTTCGTCCCAGACCGCCCTCTCCATCTTGGCCAACCTGCCCAGTTCGACCAACACCCTATCCAACTTCTCCACCACCTCAAGCTCTAGGGCTCCTCCCTTGATCCTCTTGTTGGCCTGATCCTCCAAGAGGGACGCGTACTTTTTGAACATCACGAAAATGTTGGTGAACGTCTGCTCAAACTTGCCCTCCATCACTCGTCGCCAGTGGTTCGTGTACGACTTGTGGTCATGGGTGTGGGACCCATTCTGCTGGTCAGCCGTGTCTACTCCCCCCATGCTGGCAACACAATCCTTGCGCATCCACGGCTGCTGTAGCTCCAAGCTTTTCCCAGCCTGACCAGCTTTGCGCAGACTGAACATGAACGGATGGGGACGGGATGGCAGGGGACAGACGAAGCACCTGGGTTAGGCAACACACTTTCCACAGCAGGAACCACGCACTGGAAATAGGGCGTCAGCCCCTATCAATAAAACAATACACAAGCCCCGATTACCTTCCCGACCGGTGGAACCAACGTGTGTGATGAGCCGAATAAGAAAGGCACCAACGCGAATCGCTTCATGTTGTCCAAGCACGAAACCGCGGACTCCATCACACGACGAACCAGTTTGACCGACGACTACACGAGCGAAACACCCGACATCAAAACACAGCGATCAACATGAATCTAGGGAACAACGAAAATGAAAGGTTACCTGTACGGTAGAGATGCGAAGTGGTCATCGCCGCCGTCGCTGTCCTCCTTCTTGGGCTCCCCGATGGCGGCGTGAGGTTGGGCGATGTGGATGGAGCTGCACAGAATGATTTCCTTCGAGTCTAGCCACTGCACGAATGCGATATTGCCGGCGCGGGCAAAGTGCATCTCTCCCCTTTCGACGGGGCGGCGATCGAGGCTCTGCAAGAAAGGCATGGCACCACCCGTTCGATTTGACCGGCACGTACCCACCGCGAAGATGTCGTGGCTCGCGAGACACTCGAATAGGGTCGAGCTTGTGAAGTAGTTGTCCATTGCGATGTGCACGCAAGAGCCGTCGATCTTGTCACCGAACTTCTTGCAGGCGCCGAGTAGGACATGTAGGACGTGGCGAGTGGTCCGCCCCAGTGGGCAGTCGAACCAAACCCTCAGCTTCGGGTCCCCGTTCATTCCACCGTCGACGCTGCTGACGAAACAATACCCCTCGATGTCGCAAATCGCGAACAGCTTCATGCCTGGGTTTTCAACAACATGAGCAGGGAAGGACGATGGAACAAATTGTTAAGGCGGCGCGCCAATAGCGCACGCGTGAATTGAGCGTTTGCACTCAATGAGAGGATGCAAGCTCGATCGACTTTCGGACAGATGACGACGAGACGTTTCCACCCCCCTTGTGGGGCAACGCAATTGCTTTCGCAGTGGAACAAACGGGCGTTGAAAATCGGCCCAAAGGGCGTGACATGTCATGTAACCTACGGAATATTCACCACGCGCACGCAATGAGGGCATCGTGGGTGGCCCAGTTACAGGCATCATGGCCTTGAGTTCCCCGGCGAATATTGTGTTGTGATATCAACCCCCCCCCTCCAGGAAAACAAGCAGATGCAGAGGTCGTACTTGAGACCTATGCATCCCCGAGGGGATGCCGCAATGTTCCGCTAAAAATGGCATCACTGGGACGGAACATGCAATCTGAATGCCACTGAATGGACACGTTGCGAGTGTGGACGATGGAGTGCGAGCTTTACTGCTGAGCGTGTGTATGTGTCGTTTCGTCATTGGNCCGAGGGGATGCCGCAACGTTCCGCTAAAAATGGCATCACTGGGACCGACCGTGCAATCTNGCCTTGAGTTCCCCGGCGAATATTGTGTTGTGATATCAACCCCCCCCCCCGAGGAAAACACAACAAGCAGATGCAGAGATCGTACGTGAGACCTATGCATCTCCGAGGGGATGCCGCAACGTTCCGCTAAAAATGGCATCACTGGGACCGACCGTGCAATCTGGCGGGATCAACTAAAAAAACACAATTCCCACTACATGAGGTTCTTCAAAACCGAACATGATACAAGGTCTCGACACTGTTCCGAGTGGTTTGTTTTGTTTCCTCGCGGGGTCGCATGTGCCGGGTTTTTGCGACCACGGGCTCCCCATTTGTGTGGACTAAAGAGCAAATGTGAGAAACAACAACAACACCAACAACAACAACAACAACAACAA